TCAAGTTTAATATGTGTATCTCCTGTATACATGGGAGAGTCCCAGAAAAGTAAGTTACTTGCCAAAACGGCTGAAGCCACCACCTTCAATACTATCTTCAACTGAAGACAAAAGATGTTGGGAGTAGAGGGAGTCAGTTATGGGAGGTTACCAGGAAAAGCACAATAAACAAGGGAAAGGTGGTTATACAAATTTGAGTCCTGGTCTTCTGCATTGATAAGAGTTTCTAGAAATAAGGTCATCCCCATCTTCCTGGTACAGCGGGGGGAGACCCTTACAAATGGAGATGTTCCTTACAAAGTCTTTTACAAAGAATAACTTCTACTTGGTTTTCAGAGCTCTCCCACACCTGCTCTCAAAACTCAGCAGCCTAACCTTTATGCCAAATAGACAAATTTTGGACTGACAAATTGTTTTCCTACAGTTTCTAGGCTACAAACCTGTACAGCATGTTACTATACCGAATGCTGTAGGCAGTTGTAACACAGTGGTATTTGTGTGATGCATTGCACTACATCGTTAGGACAGCTACGAAGTCACTAGGTGATAGGAAGTTTTCAGTTCCATTATAATCTTATGGGATCACCATTCTCAGTGCAGTCCATGGTTGACCAGCATTATGAGGCATGACTATATATTAAGGAGAGCAAGACTGTGGATTACGGGATGGTGTTCATCACTTGCAATTATGTGTCCTGGGATGATTTGTTTAACTCTTTGTTGTTTTTAAACTTTTGATAACAGTTTGGAAGAGACTTTTGGATGTGGCTATCTAAATGACTTCAACACTGCTTGTTTACAAGAGCCACAGTCTGTTTCCATTCTCCAGCATCTTCTCAGGTACAGTTTTCTAGTATTATTGAGTCTGCTTCTGCTTCTGCTTAGTGAAATCACTGTTGGCTTTCTGACCACTGGAGTGAACAGGCCAGTAGTTAGCTCTTGCCTCCTGCCTCTAGACAGCACTTTTCTAAAGGTATGACCAAAAAATGGTTGTCTGCCCTTTGAGGGCACACAGAGGGCATGCTCGTGGTCAGTTGTTAGGACTTAAAAATATTACCACCACTGAATTAGCCCAGGGGCCTAATAACCTCTAAGTCATGATATGAGAATGTGAAAACAGTGATAACTGTTTAGTTTTTTTAAAGATCATCTTCTTATCCTCTGTAATAAGTGAAGGAAAATCGCTGTGTTTGTGCAACTTCCCTGAAACCACAAGTCCTTCATTTGCCTCTTGGTTTCAGTTCACAGTCTCAAATATGCATCTGTCTGATGCTCCCACACTGGGCAAGAGAACACATGCTTGAGCTCTCACAGGCATTGTTGAAACTGGACGTGTCAGTCTCAGGAAGGGATGTGAGTCGTTACTAAAAAGGCAGTTTTCTCTGACTGACAAACAATGGTCAATGGTTCTTCTCTGGGATCAGGAGTTAGTTCACTCACATTTGGCTAATTCATGAGGAAATATAAGCCAACCTGCTTTTCTTGGCATTGAGGGTAGACTCTATTTGCTAGTTTCTAGATTATGTTCTAAAACACGATAAAGAGACTTCTTACACTCAGTTAAATAGCCATGATTTCAGTCCTTGCTCAGGGATAGGCCTAAAGGATATCAAGATGATTTAGAAAGTACCTGCCATCAAGGAATTTGTAAGAAAGAAGAATGTGCCCTTACCTTCAAATATACACAAGATCTTTTTTCATATATTTTCTACCCTTAATGATGTCAAGTCAACCTTACATCCTAGATCTTTGTCTTAACATCTTAGTGTAACCAGTGCAGTCTTTTCCCTGCCAACTACTCCTGTCATCTTTCTTTTAGGTTTGACGAGGTGCTTTATAGATCATCTCAGGACCTTCAACCCAGGCACATTGTCAGTTACCTTCTAATTCTAAGGTACTTTATAATTGTGCTGTTTTTCAATGCTAACACATTTGAGACCTGATCTGACAAAGGACCTTTCTTTCGTCTAAAGTTTTCCTATAAACAAACCCCTTGGCCTAAAAAAGTTATGTCCCTTAAGTTATAGGAATTCTTGCTTCATCTTTGCAAATTAGTGATGTTTGTTCATTCATTCATTTCAGTGACATAAGGTACAGTCACTACAGTCAAGTATTAGGGTACTCAGTATTAGGGTACCCAGTCCAGTATTAGGGTACTCAGTCCAGCCTTGAGGAATCAGAGAGGGTTTCTCTGAGGAAAGTAGTAATTAGTCAGAAGCACGAAGGCACAGGAGGAAAAAGCCCAGAGTTGAGCAAGAACGTGATACATTTGAGGAACTACAAGCATAGTACTGGGAGGGGTGAGAAATGAAACATGTGCATGCCTTTTGCCATGTATTAAGGCATTTCATCTTATTTTCAGGGCAAGGGGTTCTATAAAAAGGTTTTAAGCAGAAGAACAGAAAAATAAGTCAGCTAGGGGATAGAGACTGAATTGAGAGGCAAGTCAGTGACACTTTAATACATAGTAGCTGTTTTAGAAACTTTGAGAGTTGATTCTTCTGTAGCAACAACTATCTTCCCATAAAGCTATTTAAGAAAATATTTGCTTTTACTCAAGATTTACCGAAATCAGATTAATTGGGACTGTTTTCTTGATGAAGCTTTTTACCTGTTGTCCCCAGATTTAACTTTAAATTACCTGTTGTCCCCAGATTTAACTTTAAAGATTTTTCTTTAAATTCCACTTGAGCATATAGAGATGAAGAAGCCAAAAAGTCTTATTAAATGTCACTTAATAATTGAAACAATGGTCATAAGCATCACTTCTCTGACATTGTTCTACTTGTTGTCATGCCTAAATAGAAAAGATGCTTTAAAGAAGAGTGGCCAGTGTGTGTGCAAGTGGATTAATAACTAATCTCTACCTCACCTCTTCACCATACAGAAGGAGAAAGTCTAGGCCATGTTATACCTTTCATCTTAAAGGAAACTTAAATGAGGAGAAACTCATTATTAGAAAGGAATCTCCTATACTTGTAAAATCAACAGTGAAATCAAATCCAGAGAACTTGTCACCTGGTATTAGAACCAGGACCAAAATCTAAAGCTTGCGTTTAGTGTTTTACTTTGCCTGTTACAGAAAAGCAATGAATCCCAGTCTCAACTTTCCAACTTTGGATACATTCTTTGATGGCTCTAGGTTTTGGGTGTTTTTTGTTTTTTTTTTAAATCTCTAAATTGAGGGAGTAAGATTAGATATCAACCTTACATGTTATAGGAGAAAATTACCACTGGTACTAATCACGATTTCTTCCCATTTCAGTCATCTTGCAGCTGTGGCACACAAAACACTGCACATAAAAGACAGCACTCCTGAAGTGGCTGCGGTATGTTGTGTTGAGTGTTTTCTGTGTAATCTCAAGCATCCTCAGACTAATATCACTGAGTCAGTCTTGTAAATGCTTCTAAAATAGCATCCTCTTGTTCAACTGCAGCATTGTACTTATAGTCTGAGGTAATAATTAAAATATTATCAATGTTTATATACAACACACTGAAGTTCCAGGGGTCCCCAAACCCCGGGCCATGGACTAGTACTGGTCTATGGCCTGTTAGGAACCGGGCTGCACAGCAGGAGGTGAGTGGCAGGCAAGGGAGCAAAGCTTCACCTATATTTGCAGCTGCTCCCCAGCACTAGCATCATCACCTCAGCTCTACCTCAGATCAGATTCTCATAGGAGCACCAGTCCCTGGTGCTGAAAAATTGGGAACCACTGCATGAAGCACATTTTCCTACATCAAGTGTTAGAGTGATGAGTTCCCTGTATCTGAAGTGTACCATATGATGTACTGTCACTGCTACTGCTCAACTCTTGGGTACCAGTCTTAGCTCTAAGGGATGCTAGGAATTTGTCTTCCCTTGCCTAAAGCAAACCCTAGGGCACTTTGAGATATCGTTCCTACTTTCATTTAGAAGTCAAAATTATAAACATTTTTATTTATTCACTTTATCGTTAGCCTGTTATTGAACATTTAATCACACTTTATTTTATAGGCCAGACTTCATCTTTTCAGAGCTGTCCGTTCTGTCCTAGCCAATGGAATGAAACTTCTTGGAATAACACCTGTATGTAGGATGTAATTTCTAATTAAAATGGCTTTTAAAATACAAAATGAATTCGTTATCTATTGTACACCTTGCTGTTTAGAATTTAAACTATTATTGTGTCAATCTATTAAGTCTAAGTGATTTATCAACTTATTAAATTTTTATCCTTAAATCATCTGAGTTTCTCCATAGCCAATAAATACCAAATAGACTTGTAAAACTAAGTAAATCTTTTAAAATTCATTGTACTCTAATGGGAATAAATGATTAAAGTTTTAACTCTAGTTTGAGGTTTCTTACCGTGTCATTCCAGAAGCTATTTTTATAACTGAGATTATCTAATGTTTTTATCAAATAAAACTGATGAGGAAAAAAACCTTTTTAATCATGGTTAGTTGTGCATAAATTTAGAGAGACCAATATTAAGCCTTTTTGCCAAGACAGCTGACAGCTACTCCCAGAAAACAGATCTCATCCTTATCTTTTCATTGATATATACAGGTAATTCTTACTACATGAACTTGGGAACTGAATACAATTGAATAACAAGGAATTACGTGTACAGGTATTATATTAGGATCTTTTCATAAAAATTAAACTACGATTTGAAATGGAGTTTCTTAAACCATTTCCTTCATGGATCTATATACTAGTAAAGTATATTTTTTGTGACTTGTTTGGGTAACATGAGTAGGATCTGTTTGAACATTACAGCTATCTTCATCTGCCAGTATTTCCATTTGGGTCTGCTATAATTTTAAATGTTGCTACTAGAAGTCTTCTAAATACCAGCTGCAATCTATTTTTACAAATAGAGAAGCAGATTAGCATGAACCAAAGCTTCTCTAGTTGAATGAACATAGTTTTATATTAGCAAGTATGCTATATCTTTAGTCCTAAGTCTCAATTTCAAGTGAGTTAGCTTCTAGAATGCTAATTTTTTACTTACAGTATCATTAAGATTTCCTTAGCACAAATCAGCCACGGAATAAAAGTGTACGTTGGGATGTATTTTTCATGTGCAGTATCCTTCTCCACTTTTTTGGAGAAGCGTTTCCCTTTCCAGATCTGTGGTAGCCTCCTCAGTATTTGAATCTTGAATGGAATGACACAGGGACATTGATGGTTAGAACCAAGTTTTTCCAAAAGCAGATCCCTGAAAAGACTGTTCATTAATTCCTACAACCCAGAGCCATGACTGCAGCTGCAGTCCTTCTTATAAATTTTTTTTTTTTTTTTGCTTATGGCCAGCCAGAGGTGGATTGTGGCTATTATTTGCAACCAGGAACCCTAACTGTTACAGTACCAACATAGAGAAAATTTAAAATATAATGTTTGGGGTTTTTCTTCTATTATCTTAATGGTCATCTCTACAATACAAAAGTGATCAGATTGCATATAAATAAAATTTATTGCTGAGTTTCCCAATTAACATTATAGAAATTTTTTTAAAAACACAGAAATTCACAAATTATTGAGAGCCCCACAGTTAAACATACTTTATAAAAAAAAGTACAAAAGTGACATTAAAAATTTTTTTTGAAGAAAAGTATGTCATCTAACAGCAAAGAAATATGAATCCAGACAATGAATGGCACAAATACAGCACTTAAAGTTGTACTCAGTCACCACTCAGAGATCATTGTCGAAGTTATGAGATAGATTCAGTTTGAGAAGTTACACATTCAATTTGTTTCTGACTAACCTGTCTTGTTTTTGCCTCTCTTTTGTAAGAAAAGAGCTAGGTCTTTAATGCTGCTGGGACAAAATACTGTACATGAATTGGAGAACAAGGAGGGGTTGTCCTCCCCTGGTACCTGAACAAGAGAACAGTTAGTACAGAAATGGCTTTGGCACTTTAACCTTAAACGTCCCAAACCTTGTTACTTGAATATTATAGCCTCACATGATTTTTTAACATCATTATCATCTCCAAACTTTTTATATACATTATATATACAATAATAAAATTCCTTCAAAATGGGTTGACCCCAAAGAGGTCACATTAAATCTTTATAGCAATTCAATCAGGTAGCTTTCTTCGTAATTCTTATACCAAATTCTTATTTGTTGTTTTTGTTTAAGCTACCTTCTGGGATTGACTTAAGGCTCTAGTTTAACGCAAATGGTTTAGTCCTCGTAGGAATTCTTTTGAGGCTGAAATTACACACCACTAGCTCGCTCTTTTGAAGCTGTTTCTCCTTGTTGGATGGATGTAGTGTCTTGTCTGGGTAATCCATAGAAATATATAGAAACACATACGAGAAGAGTACCCAAAGCAAAGGTGAGTGCTGAAAAAAAATAATAATCATCTTAATCTGTATTTGTGTTCTTAAAACTATATAACAATGATTAATTTAAAATTTTAAAAACTTTCAGTTGTGGATTTACACCATTCCTCTATTTGCATTTATGATGAGAGTCAATTTTAAAATGACATGTAAATATGAACATAAGTAAATCTAAGTGTTCTGTTTTTATGATGGCAAAGTTTAGAAAGATCAAGTCTAGCCAAAAAAAAGTGGTAAAATCAAGGGAGTGACAATCATTGACTGTATACTTTTTAAAAACACGAGTATGCCTGTCTAGGACCACTGACAAAGAACACATTAACTTCCCTATATGCTGATGAAAAGAAAAAGCAGCAGAATGGCTTTTCCATAATACTAGAAACCTGTGAAATTTTAGAACAAAAGGTAGTTGAACAAAATTTAAAGATTTAGGGAACCAGATGATTCAAACCATTGAAGATTTCTAAACAAGAGAAGTGATGATTTACTAAGTAAAATTCCATTTTCTGCTAGCCTTGTCTTTTTTATCTTAATCTTGAAAATTGAGACAAGAACTGAATTACAACTTGTCCAAACTTCACCATAGTCACTTTATAAATAAATGCTTATGTCAAAACTGTATATTCTGTTCAAAACTGAACCATATTCTATATGGAATACAATGGCACAGTCTTAATAACTTTAACAGTGGCATGCAGAGAAATGACTTCAAGCTATGATTTCAGTTCACTCTTACCCAGAAAAGACTAGCTTTGCCTTCCAAAAAGAGGAAAAGGGTATATTAACTAAGAAATTGGAAGATTGTGAAAACCATCTAATTTCCTTGACCATCAGTAAGACAGAACACTGACCAAAAGCATTTTATACTGTTCTCAAATATTCCTTAGGAGCAAAGTCATAAGGATTTGTTGAGCCTAAGGATGGATCAAAGCTATAATTAAAAGTTAACCCAAACCCAGTAAGAAAAATATCTGAAGGAGGGTTATAAATACCTGATACTGAAATGGCAAGTGTTGGTCTTACACAGAATACTTACTGTGTGCCTGACACTACTCTAAGCACCTGAAACAACCCTAGGCGGTAGGTGATAGAACCATTCCTGTTTTACAGATGAAGAAACTGAGACAGAGGTCACACAGCTAAATGGTACAGGCAAGATTTGAACCGTACTATAAAATGGTTTTCTAAGATTTCTACATGGTTGGTATTCCTCTATTTGCATTTATAACAAATCAATTTTAATATGAAATATAAATATATGCCAGGTCTGTTTCTTTTACTCATTGTCGATATCTAACAGATTTTCCTCATGCATTAGTTTATGGCATAATTGATCAGTAAATGATTACTATAGCATAAAAGCACTCTGAAATGTTAAGTCAATATCACTGCTTAAATAATTGAGAAGCCAACTTAATGCTAGATGTGGGCTAGGAAAAATTTTATTAGGACTAGGATAGTGGTGGTGCCAGAATGCCAGCTATAGTAATGAGTTTTGTATTAATTACATATTAAATGAAACAAAGATACCTTTTATAGAAGAGAAAATTTAGATATGAATTTTAATTTCAAAACCAGTTTGCACCCAAATCCAAAGGTTAAGAAGGTATAAACTAAGGGGGAAATGAAAGAACTTTTCTGTTCTTTCCTCAAAATAAAAAGCCTAGTTTATTCTAATTCCACTCTGAAAGTAATGATTTCCTAAAGCCCTTACATTTATTTCCTTGTCCTCATCATACTGTATTCACTCTGAAGCACTTGAGTTATCTTTTATCTAATACCTGGGAAACTACAAAAAAGATCTAGGACCATATAAACAATCTAAGTACTGCTGACCCAGATTCCACACAGCTATGCACTGTTGCACTTACAGAATAAATTATAACAAAACTAGGAATTTCTGTAAATACTATGACCAATGCAGTATTTAACAAGACATGGAAAGGAGGTGAGAAGCTTTTCCATGTTAAAAACTTAAAATACAAACTAAGACATACTTATCTGTAATCCAAATAGCATCACTGAAGCAATGGTAGAAAGGACAATGGCTGCTGCTGCAGAAAAGCCCTTCATGATGTTGTCTGTATACTTGACCACAACAGAAGTGTAGAGGCCTCCAACACTTGCAAGAACTTGTAGTACACAGAAAGAAAGAAAATCTTAACACTCAAATAGACGAAACATTCTATGATGGTGAGGCAGTTTTCATCCCCACAGACAGCATACATACTATTTTACCTTGGAAAATACGATTTTCCCTAGAAGCGGCCATCAGAGAGAGTTTATACCAAAACTGAGTAATAGTTCCTACAAAACATTGTTTTTCAGATGCCCAAAGGCCTATGTGGTTGACTACTAAATTGTACATTTACTGCTTACACCTTAAATACTTTTGATTGTGAAGGCAAAATTGCTTTGCGACAGCGATGCCACAAAAGTAAGTCAATAAAACCAAAATTACATTTCCAAACTGGTGTTCACAGTATTAAAGGAATAATTTCAAAATGCTATAAAGACTTAAAATGGACATCTAACTTTTTTAAGGATCTACGCAGAACCTTTAATTCCTGGATACTTACAGATGACAAACCAGACATAATATGTGTAACCATAGAAAAATCCTTTTTCTTTAATTTCAGCTCCATCTGACAAGTAGACGCCAACTAATGTCACAATAATCCCTGATAGATACATTTGAATGTTTCTCACCCAAAGGGAAGTGTCTGAACTCTTTAAAACTTTTTCAAAGTACACTCCTGAAAGATAATTAGACATGCAAACATGAAATAAAGATATTAGAAATTAATTTAAAATGTCTCACTTAGAACAATAACCTAGAGATGCAATAAAACATGATTTAGGGAACATACATTTTATGTTAAATGCCCATTTATTATGTAGTTCTGATACATAGCATGCTGAACATTACCAATTTGTATTTTTACAGACCACAGAGAATAACTAAGAGGGAACTTTCTAACACATTTAACAAGAGACTCAAATTATTAAGAACAGTTTCTGCCTTTATTGTAACAGTGAGATAGATCACAAAAGCTCTCTGTTAATGCCAGTAAAAGACTTGGCTTTGGTCAGCTGGAAAACTATGAATCAGTGACCTTAATCATACCCCTATAATATCTTCCTAGTAATGAATACTCCCAACTTATATAATCACCACTTGGGATTTTTTAGAAGTAATACAGCCAAAATAAAATTTAAATAGAACTTGCTGACTGGAGTCACTTCCTTTAAAGCAAGATTCCACAAGCCAAGTTCATACACAATGCCAGGAAGACCAAGAAACCATTAAGCAGATAATACATTTTGTGTGTATGTGCATTTTTCTCGGATTGAGGGTCTATAGCTTTTTTCAGATATTCCAAAAAAGCACATGACCCACTCTTCCACTACAAAAAAAATCACATACCACTGCTGTATGTTTTATACTTAAAATGAACAGATGTTTAACAGGGACATTAAAGATTTTAATTATAAACACTAAGTTAATTAGAGACTTAGACATTGCCACTAAAGTACTAATCCACTAAAAATTCTAGTGAAAAAACAAGACTGTTTTGACAAACATGTTGGAAGAGCCAGAGAATGGGAGCAAACATAACAGCTATTCCTATTTCTACTTTTGAACTTCCTATCTGAAAAACGCACTTAACTACTGGCTGCTCAGTTACTCCACACACAGAGAAACATTAAACCACCCACCATTTCCTCAATAGTGTATTGAGAAGTTGAACTAAATAGAATGTTGAATGCAAACATTTAGTTGTTCTAAATACTGCTAAACATCAAATGGTATATTTTGGGGGTAACTCAACTTTGTTTAATTTGCTAGTTCCTAAGAGTAAAAATTTAGTATGGTGTTATCATTAAATATATTCCAAAATTTAGACTTTCTCCTCTTGTCAAACATCTTTACAAGCAATATTTCACTTCCACATTCAGCATACTTTCCTAGTTAAAAATAAAGTTCTAACTCTTGCAATAACACAAATAAAGATAAATACAGACATACAGCTATAACATATTCTTCACTAAAAAGAACTTTCAGTTTCTTCTTTGTTAGAATTATTTCGAAAACATTTCTTATACTAATATTCATACATTGTCTCTTGATTGAGTGAAGGATTGCTTATGCCTACACATATGATTCCAGACTTCCTTGTTTGTTTGATGTTATAGATTTTAGTTCTTGTCCATCCCTTTTTGGCTGTTACTTTTATATATTAAGTTTTCTGAGGTACTCTCCATTTAAACCCTTTTTCTCTGTACTCCACACTTTCTAATCTGTTAAAGCAGAGGAAGAACTTGAAGTCACCAGAGAAAAACAGATACTGAGCTGGTGACTAATACCCTAAAACAGCAGATCTAACCTGAGGATAGTGACAGTTCCAGGAAAATGGAATGAGGTACTAGAGCTTTCCATTTTTGGAGGTCTTTTTTCATTTACTTTTTGGTTCTTGACTAAGGATGGTCAAAGATGACAAGTATATCCTTAGATAACTGCACATATGAATAAGGACTGGGGTCTGAACTGAGTTAAACATTAGTATGCATTTACTGGAAAAACAGCTGAAACAAAACTAAATGTAAGTAAGAAGGAAAGCTTTAATGGGAATAAAATTGTTAGCTGTAATAAAACAAGAAACTAGATCCCCATTTAAAGTTTGATTTTTAAATCTGACAACAGAATAAAAGGATGCTTTTATGATTTACCTGCAAATCCTGAGCACAATACAGCAATGGCTATAGCACCAAACCCTAGCAATGGGTTCTGTTCCACCTGCAATAGTAATGTTTTAAGTTTTTAGTGACTAATAGAATTCATCTAAGACCAAATAAATGAATATAAAAATTTGTTACCGTTCTACTGAAAGTTATGTGCCATAATAGACACAACTATTCCACAGAATAAGACCAAACAAAAAGCCATCCAGAGATTAACCAAAGCACTCAAGTTAAAAATGAATCACTCAGATCGCAGCCATAGTAAATGTTTAATATAATGTGTGTGCCTATTTCCTAATAATAGACACCCTAGCACATAATTTTGTATAGTCAGCCTGCCTCTTAATTTTAACTTAAGTCACCACCCAAACTCAGCCCCATATAGTATCAATCACAGAAACGAACAGTAACATTTTAATTTATTCCCTATGACCTACAGGATGAAGTAATGACTTTTAACATTTCCTACTTTACTGAATTTCTATCAATTATTAATATGATACTTGCTATTTACCAGATACACTGTTACATACTAATGAATAAAGATGAAGATGGCGCACAGTTCTAGTTCTTAAATATTTCCTGGATGGGATAAATTGACAGGTATATGTCATCATGATACTGTGCTAACGGATGCATGTATATGGGCTCTAACCTATTATTTCAACTTTATTTCTTCCTCCTTCCCTAAAGTAACCTTCAGGAGCTTTCATCATTCTTTCCTCAGAGATTAATACACTCTCAGTAGTAACACTGAAACTAAAGAGTTGAGGTGCATGACTATAATATGATAAGCATGTACCTTGTTCAAAATAAATAAGCCTGATATAAGGAGAGTATTACTTTATGTTAAGTACCTGAAAAAAGAAAGCTTGGTCTAAAACATTTGCATGAAGATAAAATGAGAAACTGAAGATATTATTGTAGAAGATAGTGGTTCTCAAAGTATGATCTCTGGACCAACAGCAGCATCATTCCCTGGAAACCTGTTAGAAATGAACACTGACAGAGCCCACCTCAGACCTACTGAATCATAAACTATGGGGACGGAGCCCAACAATTTGTTTAACCTTTCAATTGATTCTGATGTGCACTAGAGTTTGAGAACTACTGTTATAGACTATAATTGATAAACATGGATGCTTTCTTAACACAAACTGTAAGATTGGCATAAATATGAGAAAAAATAATGTGAAATTTCCCCTATCCCAACAACTGTAGGAAGCTCAGGTGACTGAAAATAGTATCTGATAAATTTTTGACTTGCTTTTCTGCCAGTTTAATCTCTACAGTCAGGAAAAACAGTGATAGACACTGCTTCTCTGGATTTAATTCTGACAAGAAACTTTTGGGTAGTGAAGTGGAAGTGATGGAAACTTTAGAAAACAACCACCATGTCATTTTAGCGTAACTAATAGCCAAACACAGCACAGTTAAGAGACATGGGCTCCAGTCTTAAATCAAAATTCAAAAAAATAAAATTTGAAGTTAGAATTCTACAGCTAATAGGAAGATGGTTCAACAGGGATAAGAGGTTCTGAAGAAAGATTCTGGTGAAGAGTAAAAAAAAATACATAAATCAGTGTTACTATTCAAGAGCATCCTCAATGAGTTCTGATTTTATAAGAATATACAAAAGAACTGCAGTGCACATAACCATAAGGAACATAAGCAGGAACTTTAGTATTGAGAAATCAAAAACCCAATAAGCAGAGGCTTACAAAAAGTACTTTAAAACATTAAAGAAAGCCTTAAAAACTGTTTAGTTCAAGAAGAAAAGAGTATGTTCTTGGGCTAGATAATGTACTGTTAGATGGAAAAAAACAGCTACCAAATCCGTTTTCCATTTTTTCTGTGAATAATTTTTAAATAATAAACAATACACATTTAAAAGGAAACTGAAGTCCAAGACATCTGGTTTGCTATTATGATAATACCTAGCTAAATAAATTCAAAAGTATCTTGACGAAGAACAGCAAGTCAAGATACTGAAAACTATATCTTTGAGGAATAATGGAGAATGGAAGCTATGCCAGAAAATTTAAATTGGGTAAATACTGTCCTCATTTTCAAAAAGGCAGAGGGAATTGGGTAAATACTGTCCTTATTTTCAAAAAGGCAGAGGGAAAGAAAAGTTGCATAAATTATACAAGGCTGCTCGAGACTCATAAGGCAGCCCAGTACACTTACCAAGAGTACAGGCTCTGGAGCCCTGCTGCCTAGATTCAAGCAACATGACTGGACACATTTCTAACCATGTTTACCTATCAGTTTCCTTACCTGAAAATGGAAACAAAAACAATACCAGCCTCATGGTTGTAGGCATAAGTGAGTTAATATGTATACAGCACTTAGAACATTACTGGTATTTAGTCCTATGTGAGTGACTGCAGCTGTTACTGTTGTTATTGATTACTAGCAAAATGTCAGAACAGATGACTTAAAGAATTTGAGTGAGACATACCAAATTTCCTTAATGAAAGGATTCCTAGTGTAAGTAATGAGGGAACATCCATAGCAATTTTTAGCAAGAAATTTGGCAGATGTGCATAATATTTTTGTGAATGAGAGAAATTCAGTGAGGACAATAGTGCAATTCTATTCACAGCTGAGTGAAGGCTCATACAGCAAAATCAAGCTAGAACAACAACCAGTACCAGCTTGCCAGGCACCTTAGACACATCCTCTAGGCCCAGTCAAATCTTCGGTTGTGCAGCCCTAGCCAGTATACTGACTGCAACTTTTAAGAGACATCAAGCCAGAACTACTAGCTAAGGCATCCACAAACTCCTGACGACCCTTACTTCCCAACAAATTATTTCTCTGCAGGTCTCATAAAAACTATGAGATAATAAGTGTTTATTAAACAAGAAAAAAGTTAAGCTAAAGAGAGGTCAAATGGTACAGCCACAGAACTCTAGTCCTGTCCTGTCTAAAATTTCAGGGATGACCCAGAAGATTTGTCAAATCTGTAGAAAGCATAATACTCAAAGAAAAAGCTAATATTGGATAAGGACTGGAAAGACCTCAAAGGTCTGATCAATGACCCAAAGCTGACTTGATAAGCTGAATAAATACAAACGCATCCTTCGTTTTGGTTTCAAAGAAGCCCACTACACAAGACACATTTGAGGCAAACTATATGTGATGCAACTATATGTGTTTGTATGTAATCAGTTACAGAATGGATATTCCCCCCAAAAAATAAAAAATAAAAAAACTAATATAATCTTAAACTGATTTAACAAGTCTCTAGTATTCAGAATAAAGGAATTAGCAAGTTATACCACACAATGCTCAGTCAACATCTAGAAATAATGTGGAGTTTTAGAGCATACTGGGGAAGAGTAACAGATGAATGCCTCTAGAAGAGAAATACAAGGAAATATTGGGCAAGAGGGATCAGAGAATCTCCAGAAATCGTGTTACAGAAAGAAGTTAACGGGATTGTCTCAATGGAGAAGAAAAGACTTGGATGGTAGGGGTATGACACTGAAAACCCTGAGGACATATGGGAGTTAGTAAAAATCTGAGTTATTCTGACAAGAACAAAAACAATGAGAGGCCCTTACAGGAAGCTGCACTCTGTTTAAAATGTGAAAGAACTTTCTAGAGGGATCTAAAAGTTTAGTTTACTAAACCTTTCACAACATTACCTATGTGAGGTAGACCTAACACCTTTTCTAATTGTGTGAGGTCTTACTTGAAGTTCACATTTAACTTTCAATTACATTTTTGCCTTACTTTCCAACAAATTATTTCTCTACAGGTCTACAACTGAATTAAATGTGCAGTGCATATCTGATCAGTTTTGAAATGTCACCAAGAATATGAGCATGCTTAACATCACGTGAAAACAATATTAATCTAAAACTCATTTTTTTTCTGGGAGAAAAAAAATCTCCATCAGGCTAAAAAGTAACTACCTAGAAGAACTGACTTCCTATTTTCACAGGCTCTCCTTATATACCAGCTGCCTTATATTCCTAAGAGAAGTTTCACTTACTAAAAATTAAAGTCTTCAATTGTAGAAGGAAACTAATAACTTTCAGAAAGTCATTCACTAGAGTTCACTTCCTACTGCTCTTTGGGAAAATAACTGATTAAAGCAAATAACATTTTAAAAAATCAGGTACATACCTTAACATTTAACTCCTAAACTAAAAGTTATAAGTAAAAGATACTTTTGCCCTATTTTAGTTATCGATTATCAGTAAAAACACTACTCCCCCGTAATCCCTATTACTGACAGTGGCAATATGTGCCAAAAGATAAAAAACTTTGTGAGCTGGGGGAGAAGGTGAAAATTAGATGGAGAATATCTCGCCCAGTGTTTCTGAGAAAATGTCTGAAAGAGGCCTAGAAGTTCTGAACATACACACTGTGTAGAAGCTGGCACGATTTTAGTCACATGGTTAGCTATTAACCATGTTGTTTTGTACAAGTTACTTCACTTCTTTGGACATCGATTTTGTCATCCATAAAACGAAGGGGATAGATGACATCAAGTTTAAGGTACCTTCCATCTCTAACAACTTATGCATCTTCCCCTCTAAAAAAGAAAGGAAGCTAATAAGTTATCCTTAATAATATAAGGAGGGGGAAGCCTACTTATAGGGCAAAGATTATTTTCAATCAAAGAAATATAATCGTACTACATTCATCAAAGTGTATATAACATACTGAAGTGTATATAACATAGGAAGTTTCCTATTTTAGTATGGTAAAAATTTTGTTTCTTACCATGACTTTTGTAGCTTGTGCTGGTTTCCACTGTACAAGTGTGACTCCACCACATAGCATAAAAACTGAAATCCACTGTAATTTGCTGAGTGTCCGGTTTAACATTAAAACAGTACATAAAGCAGTACAGGGAATCTTCAATTGGTAGGTCACCTAGAAACAAAACAATGAATTAATGAACTCAGTTAACATTAGTCTCTGACACAAATAATTCTGATATTAATGGAATTATCAAAAATATCTAATAATGTGACAAAAGGTTAATAAAAATAATTTCACCATAAAAACACTTTTTAAGATTCTGTGCTTTTTCATTGTCATTTATTCCACTTACCTGGTACACTGCTGCATCCAGGTTGCTAAGAGCTAGGAAAGCCATGTTGTTCTGAACAGCATACACTAATGATGGCACACTTAACTTCATCAATTCTCTGGGACTCCCCAAGACATTTTCTCTTAAAGATGTCTTGAATCTACCCAGACTACCAGTTTCTCTTTGAAAACAAGGGAAGTAAGAAGAAATTGAGGAAGAAAATTAAAGACCATCCTTTTGATAAGATTCTTTCATACATAGGATAACTATATTAAGTCCATTGACATAATTTAGCTAACTTATTTTGTTTTTATAAATTTCAACTAATTTTAGATTAAAAGGAAAATAACAACAATATAAAAGGAAAACAATTACAAGTTCTATTGGAAAAATATCACAATAACTAATTTTATCATCTTCAACCTCTGGTCAAAGCTCCAGGAGTTTCTGAATATATTAAATAATGAGACAACAGGTAACCAGAATTGCTGATGTTACCTATTAAAAAAAAATTAAGCTGACATTTTAACTGCTATTACATCATTATATTTTTTTTTCATTAATCAAGTTGTATATCTATTTAAAAAAAATTTTTTTAATTACAATAGATTTAAATTGCAAACAAAAGAAAAAGGTTCTGGTAGCTATGAAAGTTACTTGGGATAGGAATTGAGGGATCCAGGTCATTATCACTTAGAAATCCGTTCAGTGCTTATGTAGTAGACAATAAATCTTTAAGCATATTCTCATAAAACTCAAGTACTGTATAATTTTGCAGGAAATGTGAATATTAATACCAACGAAAGTAAACTGTATCTGTAATGTATGTAAAGTTTACTACTTGCTGCATACTGATCATGCATGCTCTTAACTATTCTTATTTCTCCTCAGGAGGAACTAGCTAATCTGGCTCATATTTCCTCCATTGTAAATGAGCTCATTTATTTCCTGAAAATAAAAATTAAACAATGTTTTATAATAAGTACCAACACCAAAAAAAGTGATTTATCAAGAGTCCTAATTGCAATTCACAATATCCCTTAGAGGACCATAATACTTTGTTGGGGAGGGAGATCTATTCCAACTCAGAGTTTATGATAGTCACAATGAGCCTCTGTATTTTTGGTTAACGTAGAATCAACAATCATTAATTGAATTTTTTCATACAAAAATGCTTACCCATGTTGAGGAGCAAAAGAGCCCATAATGCTGAATTGCCTACCTATGCCTATCCACTGTAGAACACTCTGGCCCCCAAGAAAATACTTAAGACAGACAGGAAATTTGGCCTAGGCCACAGAAACAAAAGATGTCCTTCTTAGTTACAGGTCTTCCTCTGTTGCCAAATTCAACCCACTCCACACAATAGTGGTAAATCTATATGCTGAAAAGTAATACACACAGCCCAGTGAGAGACTGCAAACTCTACCCAGAAAAGGGAAAGGATACCAAAAAGATCACTTTACTTAGAAATTCTACATAGTAGAGTTTTCCAAGTACCTGAAGATAAGCCCTTTAAACATTTGACATTTTTTAAATTACTTTTAATGCAAATCTAAGAAGTCTATGTATTTTCTCAGCATCTTAAAGTATAAAAAAAATTTTGAAGAATGTTCTTCCTCAATTATAAAACTAAAAAAAAAACTTAAAAAGATTAAAATAATCAGAGGTCCAATTCAAAGAACCAGGTAATATATTAAAAAACATAACTGAACATTTTCCTTAATGTCATCATTCTGACTAGTAAGCATCATAAGATAGCAGAGATATAAATCTTAGATTTTGTGAAGTACAGGACTGCTTTTACTGTACTATTATTTTTAATGCCCTTCTAAAATGCTAACATATATTGATATATCTTCAGAGTGCTTCCCTAAGGAGCTACTGAGATATACCTGTTTATATCCATCTCCCACATAATATATTCTAATAAGAGAATAGAGTTTGTCTTTATCACTAGCACTCTTTGCCCTATCGGAATATTGGGTACTTAAGGATCTAATTGCTACTCCTAATAACCACCATACCTGCACCAATAATCAAGGTTGCTGTAGTCCTTTTTCCCCCCGTCTTTTCTCCTTTCTTATCTCTTCCATACTTTTTTCCTGCTTTCACATAAAAAGAAGGGGCTATGAGACATCACCAGGCAATGAGTACTCCTTTCCTTCAGTGTAACAAACCAGTAGAATACAGTGTATTGGGATTAACCTTCAGGTCTTTGGCTGTTGTAACTAGATATCTTTTTTTTTTTTTTGGATACTAAGGAAGGTTCCTTCACTAATGTGGATATTAGAGAAGCCAGGCTATAGCAGAATGCTACTAGAAAGCTCGAGTTTCACTGTAGTACTTTAGAATTATAGCAATATTATAAAATTACAAATAAGTAGTTTGAAATACGAACGAAAAATAGCAGAGGATGCTAAAAGAACTTGCAAAAGAAAAAAAGTCAAGAATAATAGAAAAATAAAAGAGATTTAGGAGGTATAAGAAAGAATATGTGGGAATCTTAGTGCACACATAGTTTTAAAGGAGATAAATGATTTCAGTATTAATCAGTTTAAATCCTGCTTAATTTAACATATGTATTAAGAATACAGCTCTGAAAGCTTGTATTTAACTTTATTCACTAAAGTTAACAAAAGTAACAGCAATGTCTTCCAGAAAACATTAGTAATCAGCTATCCTTTTCTTTTACTATTAAGTAGACAAAAATAAATGATCAAGTCTAAATATACTACAGCCTTAAATATACTATAAAAAGTAACACATAAAAACCAAAGGCCATTTTTTAGTTCCATTTTCCTGCCCTGATATTTTCTTGCAAATCAAATCCCAAGTACTTTTGAATGAATGCCTTTTGTTAAAAACAAATTAAATTTAATTCGATAAATGATACTGCTAAATAAGAAAGCATATATAATCTAAAAGCATATACTAATTTTATAGATATTTTATATAAGTAATTTATAGAAATTATTGTAGTATTTCCCATTAAATTTCCTATTGGAACCATTTGTTTGATTTTTATCACTGAAACAATCTATGTGCACCTTTTGTTACCTGAAGAAATTTTGAAGCTCCATGTTGATTGCAGAGATTCCGAGGCCACCTCCCTCCCTAAATTTCCTATCAAATGCCTGAAATCAATTCTTTCTGACTTGGTCAAAACTAGGCGTCATTCTTCCATCTCTTGATCTGACAAAAACTACTATGAGGCATACAATTCTTGGCACTATGCAAAATGGAACATGGCAAAAATTACTCATGAGCTTAAGAAATTTAAATCTTGTTTATAAATTTCTTACTGTCTACAAAGTTAAGTATAACTAACTCACATAAAAGACTTTGGGGGCTAGGTATAAAAACCAATAATGAGGTCATCTAAAGACAAAAATAACCGTCATATGAGTTACATGAATTTTACTTCCTCTCCATGGCTCTACACCCATTATAGCATGGATACAAAGAGACAGTCAAAATGTAAACCAGCAGGAAAAATAGAATAGGGCTGGATAATATTAATATAAGTATTTGATAGCTATATTAATTATTCTAGAGATTACTATGAAATAGTAAAATAATTCTCTCCAGCCTTATATAAATAAGATTTAAAATACACTTGGTTTATTACTAAACACACCCAAAGTGTATGTATATTTACACATCCTGCTAGGTTTATTTAGTTTTTACAGACTGTGGTGGATGGCAAACAATAAAAAGTTGACTTTGTACTAAGATGATGTGAAAGTGTTCTTCTTAATTCATTTTCCTCACATCACAAATGACAGATTTAAATTGTAACTATCAGACTTAATAGCTGTGACAGGTTTTAGTAAAGCATTCATGTAACCAGCAATTTTCCTGTGAATTGTACTAGTAATTAGTTTTGTGGAAAACCAAAGTATTTTAAATGTTGTACTGTTCTACGTTTCAATCAGATTATAACTTGGAAATTGGTAATTTTTACTTCAAAGATTTAAAAAATCAACTTATTCACATTTAGAGCTTTTACAACACCAAACTACTAATCTGCCTTCTCCTCCAAAACAGGATTTAGTAAATTTCTTTTCAACTTAAAAGTGATCTGATGTAATCATACATATACACAACAGTGTATACACACAGTGCATGTAATTGAAATTCACCAATTAGACCATGTAAACCTTAAATCTTATTCATCAAAGTAAAGTAGCCATCCATTCTTTCCCACACTCCCTTTTTGTCCTGCAGTTCTAACTTCTAATTAAAAATCACTAGAGATTATAAGTAAAATCTGCAAGCATGAAAAAATTACAAACGAAAAAACCTTTTTTAGAAATTACTAAATTACACTGAAACAGAAAAAGAACCCAAGTATTCTAAAAGTCTTTTTAGTATATGCTCCAAATCTAAAGGCAAAAGGAACTACATACAAATACTGAACTTCAGTTAGGTTTGTTTTTTCGCAACTGTATACTAGAAATTCTAAATCTACTTATGTGTCCTAGGGTTAAGAAAGTAAGTAAATATCTTGAAGACAATGGGAGCCAGACTCATTACCACTAAAGAAGGGAACAAATATGGAAAAGGAGGTTATAATCAACTCTTTGGCACTGGGTCAGAATTACAAGTATCAAAATATATGTATAACTCATAGTTATAAACATACAGAGATAGGTGTCTATATAAACACATATATATATATTTCCTAGCTCTGTTTGCTGAAAGGGCCTAGAAGCAATGATACTCCAGTAGCAATGAGCACTCTAACATCTAGATTCTGGTTTCTAAAGACCATTCTGAAAAAAGAAAAGGAACAAAGCTTCTTGGAGAAATGTATGATTTCAGGGTTGGGGCAGGGAAAGTACAAGATAAGCCTTAAACATCTTCCTATGCTAAAAGGAAACTGCTCAAAGATTGACGAAAATTCAAAAAAGAAACAGGAGGAAGCTTGAAGAAGATCCCACTGCCTAAATCTAGGACAATTTGAGCATCGAAATAAATAATGGTAATAATGGATTCTAGCCCATACAATAAAATAATCCAGGAATCTATGCTGGGGAGGGCAGGGAAGGAGTGGGCAGCGGCTTCTTAGAGAAGAATGCCAACTAATAATTGTACAGGAAATGATGGAATTACAAATTACCATTTGGTAACATCAGTGGACAATAAAACTATTAAGTGAAAATGTGAAAAGAAACA